CGTCTTGTGAGCAGCAGCAACATGCAGCTCTCTCTCAGGGATGGACCCCAACAGCAGCTACCTGGGCTCTGAGCTGTCAGCACGACTTGGAGCTGACCAGGAACTGACTAGAGAACTGACTAGGAACTGACTAGAGATCTACTGCATCAGCTGTTCTGCCTTTATAGTGGATCAGAACGCGATAGAACATGATGGGAACCAACCAGCAGGAACATCTGGAATCAGATAGAAGCTGCATTTTTATTAAAAATTGACATCATATTTTTTAGTAAAAATGCAAAAAATAAATAAAGAGATGGTTAAAACTCATCATTATCATCTCCAACATAATGTCTTTTTGTATTTTTTCACTTGTTTATGAAGAAACCTGCTGGTCAAATAAAAATTCCTACAAATTAAAACTGCGCCAGCTGTTCTACCTTTATGGTGGAACTTATACCAGGAACATCTGGAATGAGACAGAAGCTGCACATTCTCTGAAACTTGTGAGAGTTTCAAGGCGTATGAATCATCTTGGACAGTAAAACGTAGACAAAACACAGTTAGACAGTTAGAATTAGTCATTTTGAACATCTGTAACACAGAGTTTTATTGAGTTTTGTTTCTTGTTTATGTCATTTCCAGCCACAAGAAACTTGTTGGTCAGGTAACAGTGGATTAGAACATGGGAGGAAGTACCAGGAACATCTGGTATGAGACGGGAGCTGTATGTTCTAGGGTAAATATATCACTTGAGAGGGAAATGTAAAATGTTAAACAGTTAAAATTCGTCATTAACGCGTTGTCTCGCTGTGTGTTTACGTCCATTTCCAGCCAGAAAACAGCTGCTGATCGAATAAAAAATCACCACAAACAGTTTTGTGAGTCGTGCTGAACTAGTCCACAGTTCAGCTCAGTCTGGAGGACTCGTCTCTGCGGCTCTTTCGGATCCAGCCCTGCGCTCTCTCCAGCTACGCGTCACTTCCTCAGTCGGAGCCCATCCCTTTGGAAAAAAGAAAATTCACATTCAGGCGACCGACGGCGAGAAAAAGAGCGAGAGGGAAAAAGCTGAGAGGGAAAAAGCTGAGAGGAGAAGCGAAAGCGAGAAGCCAGATGAAAAAGTTGGATCCCGCAGACGGAGCCGAGCGAAGTTTTACGCGTTAAAGTGAGTTTTTCCAAACTTTGTCCGTTTCCGTGACGCGCAGTAACATCTGGAGATAAGCTGGTTTTGCTCTGATCCGGACTCTCCTGTGTGATCGGTTAACACTCTGGGCTCTCGGTGCTGCTAGTTAAGGCTGGTTACTGGCTGTTGAGGTGTCTGTGGGGTGAGTTTGGTGTTTCCAGTGGAGTGTGGAGGGCTGCTCGGCCTGTGAGCTCCCTCCCTGCTCACTCACTCCACTGGGATCTCTGCTTTATCATTCACCATTTCTTCACTGTGACGAGTTTTACTAACCTGGTTTATGACTTTATATAACACATGGGCCACTACCAGCTGCTGTATTAATGATTCATGTAAACTGTGCCCTCCAGCAGAAACACTTTCTATAATAATTAATGGCCACCAGCAGCTTTGAAACCTTAGATGGGTTTGTGCAGAAGGTTACAGTCTTGTTTTTGTCTCCATCCAGCCCTGAGGGTAGAGAAAAGTATGTGCTAACGTTGCACAGTGTGCTTCAAGTACAAGTCTGAGCTTGGCCTTCAGCTTCGCCGCAGCAGAGCTCGCTGGTTTCCCACATTGTTGCACAACACGTTGGATTTTTGCGCGTCCTGTCAGGAGCTGACTAACTCTTCCTCCTGCTGCTTTCTCCACAGCCATGCCTCTCCATAAGTCCACCCGGGGCCCCCGCCTCGACCCCACCATGATCTCCGCTCCGCTGGGAGACTTTCGCCACACGATGCACATCGGCCGGGGCGGCGACGCCTTCGGGGACACCTCCTTCCTGACCACACTGGGCCCCGCGCCGTCCAGCTCCGACCCGGGGAATCCAGGGGCCACACCGGCAGCAGAACCAGAGGTGAACCACGACGAGCTGGAGAACAGCGACCTGCAGCACTCCGAGTCCGTGTCCTCCTTCACCATGGACCTGGACCTGGACCTGGGCCCGTCCATGCTGGGGGACGTGTTGGGGGTGATGGACGGTCTGGGGCTCGACGCCAACGAGGAGGACGTGTTCAGTCCGAAGGCAGCCATGGAGATGAACATGCAGAACCAGCTGAACGGGAAGAACCTGGAGGGGAACCAGGTGGGCGACGGACGGATACCGGACGGGATCAAGCCGAAGGGGCTGCGACCGAAGGTGAGGTTCAGCGACAAGCGCGAGGAGATCATCCGCCAGGCGTCCGAGGAGGATGAAGGTCAGAGCTTCGACTTCCAGGACGAGGATCAGCTGTCGTGCGAAACCCCAACGAGTCCCGAGAACCGAGCGGAGTCCGGGTTTGCCGCCTACAAAGTCGACACACCGCCGAGTCCCGCGTCCTCTCAGGGCTCCGAATATGAAGGAGTGACTCCTCTGGACAGGAGGAGGGTGAACAGCTGCCACTCAGACTCAGACTCAGAGGACGACGAGGACGCGGGACGAGGATACACGTTCGAAGACGAGTTCGACGACGAGATCGGCCTATAAGACTGGTGTTCGCTGGCCAGCTGATCAGAAACACTGAACCTGAGCGCATCATTTCAGCACCACACGACTGGGAGGCTCACAAAACTGGATTCTTACAGCTAAGACGATGTTGCTCAACTGGACAAGACATGTATTTTGTTTTATCTACGAGGGCGACAGATTTAAAAAGACTTTCTGACCAGAAATTAATCCATTTAGGCCGTTTGTAGCACTTTGATTCATTCTGTCGACCTGGAAGCTACCAAACGTTGGACTCAGGCTAAATGAACCATGTTGTTAATTCCCACTATAATCTGTCCACAGTGGCTGCTGTGTGTTGAACTTTATCTTCTTGTGCCTTAAAGGGGGCTGAACGCTCACATTATATCCTCTCAGTGTCTTCATACTTATTTCTGCATGTTTATTCCAGTCTGGTGAGGAGGCTCCCCGCACACAGACCTGTTTACTGTGAATTTGTCACATTCCAAATCTGAAAATGTGAGTTTCTGTGCTTCACACCAAACCTGAGTTCAGTTTTTTGCATGTTTTAAACTCACCAGAGCTGTTGTTGGGGCTGCGGGGCTAAAACGCTACGACAATCATGGGATTTAAAGGTCAAATCAGGAGCAGCAGTGTATTTTTGTACGTGCTTGTATAATGCCTTCTTTTTAATATTTTATTTCATAATGCTGTAAAAGGGAGAGGCCATTAGCTCGTCTGTTGAAATGCTGGTTTGTTATCCTGTGGTTTAATACAGATTACAGTGAAAACAATAAAGTAATTATTGGGATTTTAAAATAAGAACCAGCCTTGACTTTGACTGTTTTTTTTTTTTTTATTGAAGATGGTGACATCACTTCCTGTCTGCTTATTATATGATCCCTCTGCTGTTTTATTGAAGAGCTCTGAGTGTGAAACCTGCCCTTCATGGAGCCGCAAACATCTTTACGATGGAACAGAAAGTTGTGTCCACGTCATGCTCACTGCTTTCTCATTTCACCGTGTTATATGTTATTGTAGAGCTGCAGAGATGAATCTGATCTTTTTGTGCCTCTTGAGGGCAGCAACCGTCATTCTCATACATGAGCTGATTGTTTTGTGGATTATTTTTATTGCTTTGTCTCACAGGATGGTGGAAAACCGTCTAGAAAAAAAGACTCTTTTTGTTCAACTACAAGTTTAAAACGTGGTGAACAACCTGAAGCTGTGACGATTGATTGATTGGTTTATTAGTAATTCAATCGTTAATCATTTTTCTGATTCCAGCTCCTTAAACATGAATATTTTCTGGTTTCTTTCTTCCTCTGTGACAGTAAACTGAAGATTTTCGGCCAAAATAAGACATCTGAGGAAACTGTGATCCACATTTTTCACAATTTTCTGACATTTTAGAGACCAAACAACTGATCGATTCATCCAGAAAATAACCAACAATCAGAATATTCACTGTTTCAGTCCAGTTCACCTCCAGCTGGACTCTGGTTCTGGTTTGTTGAAGGTGAGGCAACATGAACGAAGACAAATCACAATTAAATCTACATTTTAGGCCTAATTAGGGCAACATCTAATAACTATTTTCATCATTAATTCAGCTGCTGATTGTTTTTAGAAATGTCTCAGGATCAGTCGTAAAACCAAATCTGACGTCTTTAAAAAGGTTTTTGTTCAACCACCAGTCAGAAGCTCAGTTAACCGTCTACAGCTGCACAATGAAGTGATTAGTTAACCATTAAATCAATCGTCAACTGTTCTGATCGTCAATTATTCCGTTTTTGAAGAAGAAAAACTGTCTAAATTCTGAGATTGCAGCTTTATCAATGTGAATATTTTCCGGTTTTGTTCCTCTTCTATAAAACTAAGCTGAAGATCTTTGGCTTGTGGACAAAGAAAGACATTTTGAGAAGCATTTATTATTATTCTTTTTTTACTATTTTCTGACATTTTAGAGACCAAACCACTGATCACTGATGTAAACACCCAGTAGGTGCAGCCTGGTGTTGACGTGTTGTGGCTTCTGTCGTACAGAGAATGACGGACTTTTCTGTAAACCCATCTTGAGTTAACGTGGTCCTGTGCGTTCCTCTAGTTGTGACAGAAAGTCAAAGCCAAACCCAGCAGTGAGCACAACTGTAATTTTAAACATTTTATTTTAAGCATACAACAGGAAATGCCTAAAATAGTTCACACATCTGTAAAACACACAGGGTTCAATAGGAACAACATGTGGCGCCCACGCCGGCAAATAAACGTCCAAAACAGGGATTATTACTTACATAGCAAAGTTCTGTACATTATTACAAGCCGCTCACTAAACATGTGCTGCAACGCTCGCTCTACACGGAGATGGTTCTGAACACGTTGAAGCCCGACAGCGCCGTGGACACCATGACGCCGGGGATCTGCGGGTGCCAGTGGATCTCCTTGATCTCCGACTGACCCTGGTGCAGGAAGAGCAGCTGGGGGGGCAGGTCCTTCACGCCCTCCACCCGGGCGCCCACGTCACACGACTCCACGGACAGATCCCATTGGCTGACCACATCGTCCGCCCCCGAGGCAGCGAACACGCTCGAGTCCACCGGGTTCCACTCCACCGACGTGATGGGGGCGCTGTGCTGCTTGAAGTTGGCCACGGGGCGGCCGCCCTGCGGGAACAGGAAGCGACAGATGACATCAGACGACTTCAGGCTACACAGAAACACTCATCCTGAAAGTCACAAGGTGTGTTTGTCACAAGCTGCCAGGAGGTGTTTATAGGTCCTGCAGCCTCGTAAAGTGTTGCGAGATGATTGAAGGAATGAGGCGTGTCATCAAACACCCAACCGACACGAGCTGCCAGCATCCAGCGATGATTAAACACCAGATACGACCTTATCTGAGCTGTAAACAGAAGTTTATATACACCTGTAAAAACCATGTTTATGGCAGTCTTGAGTTTCAAATGACTCCTAAAACTCTGAATCTTCTGTGATGGAATCATTGAACCATTTGAATCGTTGTCACCAAAAACAATCGTGTTTTGGTTCTTTCATAGATGCATTAAAGGTCTTCGGACTAAATCTGCTGGGTCATAAATACACATGCAGCAACTTGAATGATCAGTTTGGTGATGTTTCATGACCTCCTAACTTCTCCTGAGTGGTTCTGATTGACTCCAGCTGCTGACTCCTCTGATCCAGTTTCAACAGAACCATCTGATCCACTCATCAGACTCAGACTCTACAGTGGGAAAGTCTGAGGAGCTCAGCA